GAGCTTCCAAAATACATTCCGAACATGCTCCCAACCCTGAAATCACCTAACGGAGCTAACGGAACCATCGGATTTCCATTCCGAGGTCGTCTTCACACTGTTCTAATTACGGACCATTTTTCAACACTTAAGCTCTCATTTAGGGACTAAGTGTCCCAAAACACTCCGTATCCTAACACCGAACGTCCCGGCCAACCAAAATAGCAGAAATGAACTTAGGGGAAGCAGTTAATGGGGGATCGGGGCGTAAATTCCAAAAACGACCGGCCGGGTCATTACAAAAAGCTTAGAGTCTAGGGCTAATGAGTGTGATAGCAAAAATGCTGAGTTGAAGAACCAGGTTCTTGAACTTGACACAAGTGTGCTAGAACTTAGGTCTGAAAACTTAAAATTGAAACTAGGAACTGGAAAGAAGAAAGCTGATCTCACCTATCTCACTCTAGAGGAAAACTCAAGGAAAATGAAGGACGAATTGTATAAGAAGGATGAATTGATTAAAGACCTAAAAGAAGATCTAGGAAAAGTGAAACATGAAATAGACAGAACTTGCAAATGGAACAAGGCATCTGATGCACTCTCTTGGTTGCAAGAGCATCACAGTAGCAACAAAATAGGACTTGGCTATGGGACTCAAGCACCAAAGTGGGACCCTAAAAGCAAGTACCTCACACTTCCTGAAAATAAAATATGCACACACTGTGGCAAGACTGGCCATTACAAAAATGAATGTAATGCAAAAGTAAAGGCCAGTCAAAAGAACAAAGTTTTTGTTCAAGAGAAAAGTAAGTTGCCTGGGTGGGCAAGAAGGAATTTGATTCATCCTTTTGCCTATAGAAAGGGACCCAAACTAGTTTGGGTTCCTAAAACTAACCCCTGATTTCTTTTGTAGGTCCAAGTGAAAGGAAGCAGCCAAATATGGTATATGGATATTGGTTGCTCAAAACATATGACTGGGAGCAAGGACCAGTTCCTTTCACTTGAGAAAAAAGGAGGTAATGTCTCCTTTGGTAATGGAAAGAAAGGTGAGATCATTAGGGTTGGAAAGGTAGGTAAGATAGACTCTCATTCCATAGAGAATGTCTACTTGATAGATGGCTTGAAATATAGCCTAATAAGTGTGTCACAACTGTGTGACAGAGGTAATCTTGTAGCTTTCACCTCTACCAAGTGCTTTGTGATTAACCTTACCACTGACAAGATTGTTTTGCAGGAAAAAAGAGTTAACAATATTTACATTGTAGATTTGTCCACTCTGTCAGAAAATGAGCTCACTTGCCTAAGTGTGTTGGTTAATGATCCCCTCCTATGGCACAAAAGACTTGGTCATGCAAGTCTGAATCAGCTAAACAAATTAGTCTCCAAGGACTTGGTGATAGGGTTACCCATCATCAAGTTCAAAGAAGACAAAGTTTGTGAGACATGTGCAAGGGGGAAGCAGGTAAGATCATCTTTCAAAACCAAGAAGATGGTAAGCACGTCCAAGTCGTTGGAACTGGTTCATATGGATCTTTGTGGTCCAATGAGAACAATGAGCAGAGGTGGAAAGAAATATGTAATGGTACTTGTTGATGATTATTCTAGATTTACCCGGGTACTATTTCTAACATCTAAAGATGAAGCATTTGATATGTTTACTACCTTTGTTAGAAAAACTCAGAAATAGTTAGGAAATCAACTTGCATCCATTAGGTCTGATCATGGAACTGAATTTGAAAATGCAAAGTTTGCTGAATACTGTGATGAAAATGGTATAGATCATAACTTCTCTGCCCCTAGGACTCCTCAGCAAAATGGAGTAGTTGAAAGAAAGAACAGGACCCTTGAGGACATGGCTAGGACCATGCTACTTTCTAGTAAACTGCCTCATAGCTTCTGGGTAGAGGATGTAAACACTGCATGTTACATAATCAATAGATGCATGACTAGACCTCTTGTAGAGAAGACTCCCTATGAGTTACTTAAAGGGAGAAAACCAAATATATCCCATCTTAGGGCATTTGGTTGTAAGTGTTATGTGCACAACAATGGAAAAGATTTCCTAGGTAAGTTTGATCCCAGAAGTGATGAGGGAGTATTATTGGAATATTCTTCACATAGCAAAGCATATGAAGTGTTTAACAAAAGAACTTTGTGTGTAGAAGAAAGTGTGCATGTAGTATTTGATGAAACTAACATTCTTTCTGAGAGACAGGAACATGAAGATGAAACCATTGGATTGGTAAAGGACTTGACTTAAGCATCAACTCAGGTCAAAGTGGCACCAACAGAAGGAACAGGTTCTTCCATGCAGGGCAACCTGACAAGGGGAACTAATCAAAGAGGAACTGGAATAAATCCCTTAAAGGAACCTGTTCATAACCCTGTTCCTCAGCAACAGAACATGGGAGAAACTTCTAGCAGAAACCAGTTGGTTGTGAAACCTCACAAGTATCAAAGTTCTCATCCCATTGAGAACATTATCACTGATCCAACATCTGGAGTTAAAACTGGATCACAATTAAAGAATCTGTGTGCTTTTGACGCTTTTATATCTATTATTGAACCTAAAAATGTTGTTGAAGCGTTGCAGGATGCAGATTGGGTAAATGCAATGCAGGATGAACTCAACCAGTTTGAAAGAAGTCAAGTTTGGCATCTAGTTCCAAGACCCAAGGACAGATCAGTCATTGGTACAAAATGGGTCTTCAGAAACAAACTTGATGAAGATGGAACAGTTAAAAAAAACAAGGCAAGATTGGTGGTCCAAGGTTACAGCCAAAAGTAGGGCATAGACTATGATGAGACTTTTGCTCCAGTTGCAAGACTAGAGGCAATCAGACTTCTCATAGCCTTTGCAGCACACGTGGAATTCACTCTTCATCAAATGGATGTTAAAAGTGCCTTCCTGAATGGTTACCTGAAAGAAGAAGTGTTTGTAAAACAACCTCCAGGGTTTGAAAGCAAGGAATGTCCTGAGCATGTGTACAAGTTAGACAAGGCCCTCTATGGACTTAAGCAGGCTCCAAGAGCATGGTATGAAAGATTGTCCAAATTCCTGCTAGAGCATGGGTACAAAAGAGGTAAAATGATAGTACCTTATTCTTAAGGGAAAAAGGTAAGGATCTCCTTGTTGTACAAATATATGTTGATGACATAATCTTTGGGGCCTCCACTGATAAGATAAGTAAGGACTTTGCAAAATTAATGGGAAGTGAGTTTGAAATGAGCATGATGGGTGAGCTTAACTTCTTCTTAGGCTTGCAAATCAAACAAAGTCCAAATGGAACCATGATCCATCAGCAAAAGTATACAAAAGAGATAATCAAAATGTTTAAAATGGAGGAATCTAAAGAAATAGACACACCCATTGCAACTGCCACTAAATTAGATGTTGATGAACCTGGTTCATCAGTTGATCAAAAGTTGTATAGGGGTATGATTGGTTCACTCCTGTATCTTACTGCCAACAGACCTGACATTGTGTTCAGTGTAGGGCTTTGTGCTCGTTTTCAGGCAAATCCAAAAGAGTCTCACTTGACTGCTGTCAAGAGGATACTAAGATATCTGAAAAGCACCACTGATCTGTGTCTTTGCTATCACAAAGGTAGCAATTTCAATTTAGTTGGATATGCTGATGCTGATTATGCAGGTTTTCTAGTGGATAGGAAGAGCACCTCAGGTATGGCACACTTTCTTGGTTCATGGGCTACCAAAAAGCAAAACTCAGTGGCCCTATCTACTGCTGAAGCTGAGTATGTTGCTGCTGCTTCTTGTTGTGCTCAATTACTATGGATCAAACAACAGTTGGTAGATTTTGGAATTAAAGTGGGGTGTATTCAAATATTCTGTGATAACACTAGTGCTATAAGTATGACAAAGAACTTTGTTCATCATAAGAGGACTAAGCACATAGATGTTAGACACCACTTCTTAAGAGATAACTATGAGAAAGGATTAATTTCAATAGAATTCTGTGCTACGGATAAACAAATAGCTGACATCTTCACTAAAGCACTGAGTAGAGAAAACTTTGAGAGGAACATGTTGGAATTAGGGATGATTAGATCACCTAATAGGTCCAGTTCAGAATGCACAAAGAAAAAAATATATGAAAAAAATTGTATGTTGGTTAGAGTTCTAACTTTGTGTAAATATCTAGATCAATTCTTACTCAGTTTCATACTTTAATTAGTATACTCCTGTGACATGTGTATATATGACTCACTGATCTCTTACAAAGTTTTTCTATTATGGCATTTGAGGCATGTTCAAGAGAATTTTATATGAAGAACCTGGTTCATCAGTCACTACAAAAAAAGGGGCTTTAACGGCAATAAAAAAGAGCATTAGCGGCAATAACAATAGCCGCTGTATTATTTACCAGCTATTGATGTTTAGCCGCTGAAGCCAGGGTCGGTAAAGTCTTTAGCGGCACTTATCACAAAAGCTGGTGAAAGGTGTGACTTATTGCCGCTAAATATCATTTGATTTAATGGCAATTGTTTGCGACAATTATGATGGCTGCTAAATCCAAGCTAAAGCGGCTACTAATGCTCTTTTAAGTCCATTTTTATTGTCGCTAAATTCAAAAAAAAAATATCGCTAAAAGTCCATATCTTTAGCGGTAATTATTTTGTGGCAATAAGAATGACTATAATATCCCTTCTGAAAATGTATTAGTATGCCCTTTTAGCATCTATTTTAATAGCTAGTAAATTTAATTAAATTGCCGCTAAAAGACATCTTTAGCAGTAGTTATAATGGCTACAATATCTCACGTGGAAACATCTTAATTTGCCCTTTTATCGCCTATTTTTATAACCGATATATCCTGTTAAATTGGCGCTAAAAGTCACAAGCTATAACGGTAATAGTTTAGCCACCATTAATAATAGCTACTACATTGCGTTCAAAAAGGTTCCAAATAACATAACATATTAATATTAATTCACAAAAATATAATGTATCTCATTAAATCTTAACAAACAAAAGAAAGTACTAATTCAAAATATTAATATCACAATAACTTAAAAATAAACTTATATTGTTTGAAGTAAATAGATAATGTTATTATATGACTAATCCCAACGAATAATAGTCTTCAAATAATTTTTGCAACTCTTCTTCATGTTGAAATCTTCGACCCACTAAATTATCGATCATCAGACTGTATGACCTAAAATTATAAAATAACTATGTCAATAGATGAAATATATGACACGATAAGCATGCAAATCTTCTTCTTCTACTAGCCATCACTAAATATAAGAGGAATGCAAGACAGAGATGATCACACCAATGTAGACAGCAAAAATATATAAACTTGATGCAATGCTTCGCGGGATTTAACTTAAGAAGAAGTTGTAGTTCTTCTATAAACCTCATTTTTTGTGCTGTCAAAATACTGGCCCCAGCTAAAGTTTTTTTTTAACAGTAGAATAACAGTTCATTTTTTGGTCTCAAAACCAGCTCAATCTATCAAAATTTCCCGGTTCCATTTATAGTGAATTGCCAAAGTTATATGATTGAGCTGTTGCAATTTTATGAAGGAAAGAGATATAATAAGTTTGAAATATATGTAATAATATTTAACAAATGAATAGATGAAATCTTTTTACTTAATTCAGAGAGCAACAAGTAATGGATGACCGTTTCAAAAAAGTCAAGGGTAACTAATATAGGGAACATAATTGGTGCTGACTTTGTTCTTTGTAGTGAGCATAGTTGCTGGTGTACTCATAGTTTTGATTTATGAAGACTTAATAGGGAAGTGTATTATAAATCATTAGGTCTGAGACAAAATAAATTATGGTAAAGCTAATTGATTTTATTTATTTATTTTTTAACTTTTTCAATAATCCTTGGTGCAACTAATGCTTCTATCCTTCTTTTGGCTACTACCTCATAAGTAACATGGTTTTTCCTAGTATGTCACGCACAAGGAAGCAGAAATGAGGGAAGATAATGAGGAAACTAATGCTAGAGTGGCATGGTTAAGCATAATGTCCCTTGTATATGCTTGGCAGTTGCAGGTCTGGAACTATGCTATCTGAAGTCATACTTTCGCAAGAAAAAGCTCATTTACATTTGACAAATTTTTCCATCACACATTAATGTAGCTTATAGAATAGATCAACCACAACTTTTCATCTTATATGCCATAAGATCTAAAATTCTTTCTTCTTTTCACTTGTATCCATTTGTTGCTCTGCAATGGACTATTTTGACCCACAGTGAACAAAAAGGCTGGAGATCATATCTTCTGTAAGTGAAACTGCTAGTGCTCTATGTTCAGGAAACAAGTGCAATCCAAATGTATGTCATTCTTCTACTTTTAATTGAACTAATAAATGTTATTAATTGAGACCACACCATGTAGTCCAGTTACAAATGAGTCTTTATTACAAATTTAGGAAGTTAACCATATCTATTAAGGCATCTTAAATTGTTTTAAGTTACCCCAATAAACAAGGTCTGTTATACTTTAGGACTTCAACATATGACTAGGCTCAATTGCACTATGAAAACATCTGTGATTTTCTTCCTATCCTTTATCTCTACAATGTTTGCAGGGATTCTAAACCAATTCTTGCACAAAGTCATTTGTGTCTTCCTACCAGCCACCTAAGGTAGGCTTTTGGGAAATTTACCTAGCTTAGATCCAAGGATATCTGCCAAAGATTATACATTTTGCCACATCATTTACAGGGTATAATATCCTTTTAGTCATATTATGTGCGGGTTAATTTTTAGTAAAGGACTCCATAGTTATTGGAATATTTGAAAATATCTTCCTTTTATAACGCATGCTTTAGAGTTTTCAGTAAGATTTAAATAACCAAATCAGCTCATCTGTTTCCTCGAACTTGGCGGACAAACTATGGATCCCATCTAGTAAAGGAAGAAGAACATGTTCCAGCGAAGATATACTAAGATAAAAAAAGATTTCTTAATGATCTATAGTAAGAAAAACTCAAAAAGTAGAGCGCTAAAGGATAAAGATGAGTAGTACCGTGAGAAAGTGAAGTGTTTTCAGCAATACTAGGTATCCTTGATGTTAGTTCTGGAGTTGTCGCAATAATTCCTAGAAAGCTAGCAACTTTCGACCTTTTTCCCGAACAGCTTGGTTACGATTATTAAACGGCACATCAACTATCTTCCCCAGAGGAAGTTTCCAAATATCTTTTAGTAAAGTAGGCCCACGAACCTTCCTTGGCTCTGAATTACCTAGAATGGAAAACTCGAAGGTCATCAAATGACAAAATCTTATATGGTTAAGCATCTGAGAGATGCTTTAAGATCTGTTAAATAACAATATCATGATAAAACAACAGAGAGCAAAAACAGTATATGTTTCAACACAAAATATATGCCAACAGGTAAGTGTTTCAAAATATATGGAGATGTTGAAGATTTGTTACATCAATGCATCAATTAAGCTATAGATGGATCATATTAAGCTCACTATTCCCTAAATGGTAGGTACTCAAGATGTAAGAATGTTACAGGTGATATTTGGACATGAAATAAATGAAATCTTCATCTATCAATTAATAGTTCTGTTTCACTTTGGATAATATAATTAATTTGTTCTTTCACTTGAAATATTTTCTAGTTTACTGTTCATGTATATTAATTAATTTGTTCTGTTGAACTTTGCGCATACACTAACCACTGACAACAGTTTTGTTTCACGGCACCATCTGCAGAAAGTGAATGGCCTCTTAACTATAATCCCTTTACACTAACAACCATTCTAATAGTGCAAGGATCAAAAGAGACCAACTAAGTATTCAGATGCTATATTCATAAGTTTTAGCATTACAACTTACAACCTTGTTCAACAAAATGCTTCTATTCCAAAAGCTGTGATACATCAAAGTAAACAGAAATATGCGCAACTAGCAAGTTTATCGGTAGCATTGACAGCTCAGTTAGATACATCAGATTTGCAACTATACACTGTGGTACACAAAGGCAGTTGGAACTGCAGTCGCAATAGAAGTTTCAGATACTCTGACAACAGTGATAGGGGATATGCAATTTACCACGAAGTGAGGAAATTAGATTTTCTTATATGCAACATTGATATAAAAAATACAAATTATGAACTCAATATACACCTTGCATGTGTGAAACAACTTCAATCACAATACCATTCTAAGAACCCCAATTTGGAATGTAAAACAACATCAATCAATGGTGAACTTTTTCATCTAATAAAATAAGTAACTTAGTTGTTTGCCTCTATTGACATATTTTTTGAACAACTATATCTACTTATACTCAAATTGTAACTCACATGTTTGCCTCTATTGATAGTTTTTGGAGTCTTGAGTGGATAGTTCAATGAAGAATAAGCTTAGATAATATTGTTTGCTTTGTGTTTTCTTTTTTTAGAGTACAATTCTGTACCCAACAGAGATAGTACTCAAACTTGCTTATGCATATATACTTTAAAAATTATCTATTCTATCTCAACTAAATTTTCAAAAAAATAAATTCTAAGTATACATTGTTGTGATATATTCCCGGCGACAAATTCTCTAGATCATAAAACAATAGAGGAACATTGGAGGAATCAATTCAATCAATCGACTATCAATCTAACAACAGCCAGATAAACATTGGAGGAATCAATTCAATCAATCGACTATCAATCTAACAACAGCCAGATATCACAAATAATTTAGCAAACACAAAAAAGCTATACTTTTACAAATTCCAAAATGCCATAATTGGATATCAAGAACCATAAATTATACCTGGTGAGCAGAATATTTGCCGATAAAAGAAAAAAGTGAAGGAGAAGAATAATTTTTGCAGCAATCTTGAAACCTACAAGAAAAGAGAAGTTGAATACGGATGAAAAAGTTAATTCTAATACACTAATAATAAAGCATAAATTGGTAAATTCGTATGAGGGGAGGAACTTGAGCAACAATGATTAATTGCAATTATTGTGCAAAACCACGAAATGATTGAGAACTACGATGGGGTCGAAATAAATTTTTTTCTTTGTATTCAGTAAGTATTTTATGACCGAATAATTCAAGGAAGGACGTACTGCGGGGAAAAAGAAGACAAAAAGATAGGCAAGCAGTCACGGAATACTCGAAGAGCGCCGAACTTTTCTAGATCAGTTACACCTTTCACCGTAACTTGCCTACAACCACCATATGCAGTGTTTCTCATTGTAAAAAGTGAACCACTAATGTAGGAAATTTGGGAAGAGAGGAAAAAAATCTTTGAAGAGCAGTCGGTGATAGATTTTTTGGTTAAAAAATTTATTGTAAATTGATTTCTAGCAACATGCTGGGTAAGAAAGGAATTTACCTAGGGAAGAAGAAAAAGTTACGTGGGATTTGGGAAGAAGATAGACAGAGCTGTGGTAGGCCGGAGACTGTGGCAAGCCGCGACAATTTTGTTAACCAGCGTCCAGTGATAGGTTTTCGTAATGTTATCTTTTTCTTATTTTGGTAGAATTCGTATTATTTTCTAATTGGAGGGAATAGCTAATTCTGGTCCAAAAATATTGGAGGGAAAGATTTTATTTTACTTGTACGGAGGGAAAGTTAAAATAATAAGAACTTGATTTCAATGAGTGATTTTTAGTGGTAATTTTCTTTTTATTGCCACTAAAGAATATCTTTTACCGGCTAATGGTCATGTGCCGCTAATATTTCAGCTTAAAGAATCTATTAGTTGCAATTGCCATATTGCCGCTAAATAATTGCCGCTAAAGTCCATTTTTGTTGTAGTGAGTATGTGTTCATATGAAAGCTCAGGTATGTTTTCTATACTCTGCACAATTAGAAAGATTAATTATCCAATCATGAGCAGAAGTTCTACATTTGTCAAATTCCCAGAAATTCTATCCGTTGAGCATTGAACCAGTTTCGTTCTCCTAGAACTCTAAAAATCGGGATTTTTGCCTAAAATCTAGCGATGCCTAATAATTACTAAGAGACTGGAATTAAACTTTGATTAGACCTCTATTTGACCTCTGAAAAGGCTGACGTTACTGCACCTATGACTAATTTCCTTTAAATACACACCACACCTCTTCTTCATAATCCCATAACCGTCAAAAATTAAATCTCCAGTTCTAATTGATTTTCTTCCCCAGAAATCCTAAATTGCCTTTCTTCTCAGAAATTCTCAAAACACTTCCATAGTCGAAGAACCATGTCTAACCCCCAAGATAATCCTGGCACTCCCCCACCAGCATCCCCCTCTAACACATCCTCATCTACTCCTCCTAGTGAATCTCCAAAACCTAGGTTGCGTAGGCAGAAAATATTGGCTAGAAAAACTGTAGCATCTGGAGCCCTAAGGAAAGTTCTAAATGAGAAACTGAAGGCTAGCCAAAAGAAAGGAAGCCCTGCTCACGAATCTGACTCCAGCTCTAAGTCTGAAGCTTTTATTTCTGCCAGTGAAGGTGAAGAACATGGGTCTTCTGACACTGAAAAAATTCAAGAAACCCCTGGTGAGGTAAGTTCTTGCGTGGTATCTTCTACTGTAGTTGAAAGCATTGAAAATAGGTTTGTTCTCGTTGGTCCTATTAAAGATGTAAAGGTGGCTGAATCAAGTATGAGTGGAGGTAAAAAGAAAGGAAAAGAGAGAGAGGGAGCAAGTGGTGATGAGAGGGGTAATGGGAAAGAAAAAGCTCTTGCTATCTGTGGGAGTATTGAAGAAAGTGGCATCAAGTCAGGGGGAAGTGGTTCTGGGGAGGCGGCTGAAGGGCTTGTTCATCTAAGCAAGCAACAAGAAGAACTTGTTTCATCAGCTGAGGAAACCCTGGCTGATCTTCTGAAGAGGGTTGGGGCTAGTTATGATCCAAAGAAGCGAAAAGCTTCTTCACAAAAGGCTCCAACTGCTTCCAAGACAACCAAGAAAAGCAAAACTTCATCCCCAAAACCTACTGTCCCTTCAGTGCCTAAGGGAAGAGCTACTAGAAGCAGGATCAAGCAAAGTGAAGCAGAGTTACAGAAAGCTCTGGAAGAAAGCAGGAAGAAAAAGAGGAAGAAGGGAAAAGCAAAGGTTGTAGAAAGCTCTGAAGTAGTAGAAGAAGAAGAGGAGATGGAACTGGTCCATCAAGAAAGAGGAACAATTGAAGAGGTTCCAACACCCAAATCAAAAAGAACCAAGACTTCTTCAAAGAAGTCTTCCTCTGTACTTGTACTTGCTGAACCCTCTTTGGCCAAGAGAACAAGATCTGCAGTGAAAGGCAAGCAGGTGAAAATTACTGAGGAAGATGAAGAATGGAGTGGTGAAGAAGAAGAGGAAAAATCTGAGAAAGAACAAGATAAGTTTGCCATCTTTGGCAAAAGAATTTTTTTTGAAAGGAAGGCTGCTGAAAGAACTGGATGAACCAGGAATGAGGAGGTTGGTGGATGCTCTTACCGCACAAGGGTGGAAGGACATGGTCCTGGAAATGGATGGAAGGCTGGCCAGGAAGGAACCGATTGAGTTTATGGCAAATGCCACTGTGAAGAATGGGTTAGTCACCAGCCTGGTGAAAGGAGTAAAAGTGGAGTTTGATGCACTCAAACTTGGTGAGATTCTGGACATACCTAATGAAGGGTATGATGATTATACAAGGCAAAGGTGGCCATGTTTGGATTCTCTCCCTACTGCTCTCCAAATCACTAGGAATTTATGTGATGCTAAAGCTGCTGAAGATGTGCCTGAAGCTAGGTTTGTGTAGAAAAGTGAGATGAGGCCTGAGCACAAGGCCCTGTTTGAGTTTGTCAACAAGTGTCTACTGCCCAGACAGGAGAGAAGGCACACTGCCAACTACATGGACCTGGTTCTTATGGAGTGCCTTGTGAGAGGAATGCAGATCAAGTGGCCTGCTTTTATTGTCAAATTATTGGACAGGGTCATCAATGGCTCCAAGGCTCATGCCACTCCATATGGGTTCATATTGACTACTGTTCTGGACAGGCTGAATGTGCCTTTGAAGAAATGGAAAATTGCATCAAGCAAGGAACATTTTAGCGTCAAGACTCTTCTAGCTTGTGACTATCCAGTCAATGCCACCCCAGTTGAACCTGGTTCATCTCTGAAGACACCTATCAACAGCAAGGTTAGGGCCTTGGTTCAGGAGTGTGGAACTAAGGATGATGAAATTGCTAGGCTCAAGGCACGTGCGGCTGAATTGGAGATCGAGAGAGATGGCCTTAGAACTGAGCTAGCAAAAGAAATGGAGAAGAGTGATGGAATGCTTCAGAATATGCTAAACCTTCTCCAATCTCAACCATCTAGTTCTTCCAAGCCCTAGGCCTTCCAGCACTTATCTTTAGATCAAGTCTAGTAACCCCAGTGACCCGATTTAGGGATGTTTCAGTTCTTTTTGCTCATGTTTTGGAAGTTTTTTCTTTCTTTTTGTGGTTTGTTTGTGGAAACATATCCTTATCAATGACTACTGTTGTTTCTCTTGTTCTATGCAGCTTTTGATCTTAATAGTTCAATTATGTCTGTTGATTATTGATAATTTGATTCATGTTTTCACTTGCAGTTGCCTTAGTGGCCATGAGTAATTATTAAAATCTGGGATTCACATTGGGTATGCAACTTTTCGATGATGCCAAAAGGGGGAAGAGATATTGTGCTTTACTCTTTATTCTGAATAATGTGATATTTATAACCTAATTAAATCTGGTCCTTGATGATAAGTTAAAATTCTAAGTTAAGTCTTGATGGTTAAGCTGAGTTCTTACAGATTTTTTGATTAGTAAAAGCACAGAGTTTGTTATCATCAAAAAGGGGGAATTCGTTGGCCCAAGTTCAGGTGAAGTTTTGAAGAATGACAAATGAACTCAGTCATGGACCAGGTCCATCATGTGAGGCACAGTATTTATCAACCTATACATGTGAGATGCACGTGAAGGAGATAAGTCTCAGTGATCAAGCAGCAATATCTCCTGAGCTAATCGAAAAGGTTGCATATTGGATAAGGAGTGAAAGTCTCCTTATGAGAAGAGAACACAATCCGGATAAAGGATAGGGTTGGAGTTTGTGTTGTTCAAGGACTCAACTTCGATGGAAGATCAACAATTGAGTCTTAACCAAACTCTAATTACTAACTCATTAAATAACAGTGATTGTTCTCTTTTACACATATTGCACAAACGCAGAAGTTAAACTAAATTGAGGGCAAAAGAGCGAGGCAATTTTGCAAGCAATTTATGTGAGATTCAAGTGTGCATTCCTGAAGCTACTTGGACAAGATAGAAGAACCAATTCCATTGTGTCTTTCTTTTATTCTAGTTCAATTGTAGTAGGTGATTTAAACTTGTACCTTTCAGCTTTCATAGAAGCATTTGCATTAGGTACTTTGAGTATTCAAGTTAGAGTTAACTTGAAGTTGTCGCGACAGCTGAGGCTGTGTGCCACAACGGGATTAGAGTTTAATCCTTAGGTTTACAAGAGTTTTGTAAATGATGTTTTGGCTCAGTGATTTTAGTGGAAGTTTGGGAAATCCTACTGAGTAGTAGGTCGTGGTTTTTTCACCTTTTGAGCCAGGTGTTTTTCACGTAAAAATCTCTGTGTTCTTTATTTTATGTACTTTTAATTCCTCAAACAGTAGTAATAAGTACACCTAGAAGAACCAGGTTCTTCTAGATCGAAAATTGGGTACCACACAAATCACCCCCCTCTTGTGTGGTATTAACGTTTAGAACATCACACATAGACTAAGTTTCATCGAATCTCTGGAACATATAGGACGTCATGCAACATTAAAGATTGGCCACCACGTATGTCCATTCTGCAAGTGCCCTATGTGACCTAATCTTGCATGCCATGAAATAACATCAACACCATTATTACTAGAATAACATGCGATAATACAACGGTCAACAGAATAGTTATACATAGAAGGATTATAATCTAACACAATAAAACCATCATAACGATGTCCAAAATCATAAAAAATATTGTCTAGAGTAATTTTGAGACCATTGTGGCTAAAGTTCAAATTGAAATCTAAATCTAGAAGAACAGACACAGAGACTAAGTTTAATCGAATCTCTGGAACATATAGGACGTCATGCAACATTAAAGATCAGTCACCACACATGTCCATTCTTACGACTCCATATGTCATAATTTTGACCATTCATTTGTCACCCTTGTTCAAGTCAGCAATGATACTTTTCGATGCCATGTCTGTTATTAGAGACAATATTACAAGTTTAACTCATCAATATATATATATATATATATATATATATATATATATATATATATATATATATATATTGCAGTAAATTTATGCATGTGATTACACACTCAAGCAAATTAATT